GTTCACTTGCACAGGAGGGCAGAGGAATCATGCTGGTCTTGGCAAGCCATCTTCAGTTGATGGGATTGCTCATCCCTGCTTTTTTGTTATCAGTGGTAACCTGGGCTAGTGAAAGGTTCACACCACTGCATAGCTCCTGTAGGCATGGTTTGGCAGTTTTACAGAAAGCTGATAAGAAAGTTCCCTTGGGTCTGTTAAGCAGCCTCCATAGGATAAATCCTTTGTTCCAACTTGTATGCTTCACTGTCACTTTTGTAAATATCTGATCCTTGCTCCATCTGGCACTGCATTTGAAAAACATGGCATCTAACTAGTTCTCCAATTATCTGTCTAGCAAACTGTCCTGGCTTTGCTAGGATAGAGTTAATTTTTTTCTTAGTAATTAGAATAGCTGTGTTTTAGTTTCAGTGTAAGATTTGTTATGAGAGGAATGTTCATAAAAGTAAGCAATGCAATAATTACCAATTTTCTTTCTTCTCTGAAGAAAAAAGCTTGTTCCATTAAGGAGCTTAGAAAGCATCCCATGCTAGGGGACACTCTTCCTGCCTTCCCTATACCCAGAGTGCCTTTTTCATGTTTCTTTTCTCTCTTCTTGGTTTCTACCCAGAATATTTCAAGACCCAACCTCAGAACCTGATGAGCCCTTCCATGTAGGTGGGAACATCCTTATCTGAACATGAGCGAGCAAGGAAAAGAGGAAGAAACTTCTGCTTAGTTGATCCCCAGGACAGGAAACACAGCTCTAGGAATTTGGGCCAACTAGCCAGCTACTGACCTGGATAGAGCTGCTGCCAAAACTGCTCTGCATGTCAGTGAAAAACATTGATATTCCCAGATTACGTACCTGGACCATTTCACCACCATGGCCCTCAAAAGACTTGCAAGTTCCTCCAAAATCCTCTTAGTCTTTGGTGATCTCATGATAGAAGAAGCCTAATACTCTATTGTCTGATGCACTTTTGCAGATCAAAGGGCTGTATTGATGAAAACACTTTAGATTAATGTCAGAAAGGTTGTCCTTTGAGGTTTTTCCTTTATATTGAAGAAATTAAACACTCTAGTTTCACATCAGCCTGCCAGAGGAAACCTTTATGCAAAATTCAAGCCATTGAATTCAGGCCATCCTCACAGTCTTATCTCAGAACCTGGCAGCAAGTGAGAGAGGAAGACTATTTTGGGGATTAACATGTAGCTGTGCTTATGACTACGATTACCAAGAATATTCACAGCTACTTCTACAGTGCCTCTACATACAGATCTGTACTAGGGATGAAAAAAACAACAAACACATCCATTTATGTTGGCAAAAAAAAGGCACAAAGCAACTGCAATTCTGTAAGAAAGAGCAGACCTAAAATCTAACCTGTTACAGTATGCTAACACTCCACAGTCTATGCTGTTTCTACTTCTCTGATACAAACTAGGCAGCCATGAAGGCTTTGGATGGGAAGGATTTGGAGTTGGAATTCTTTCCAAAAAGAATATTCATTAGAAGGTATCTGAGTAGACATGCTATTTTCTCATTTGTCATCAAATGCATAAGGAAAACTGCCTCACCTGCAACTCTCCTCTGCTTTCAAAATTCAGTCAGAGCAAGTTGTACATGTTACTTACCACAGCACAGCATCTTTGCTTTTCTCTGAATGAACAACACCAGGAACATAATTTTACTGGCATTACAGCACCTTACTACAGAATCTGGACCTACTTGATTAAGAAGTGGTGAAAAAATCTTAGTTGGATTTTTTAACCTAAATGGGTGGCATATAAATTAATGCAGCCCACAGAGTACTCGTAAGCACAATGATTCCTGTTCCTTACATGGCAAACATTAACAGGGTTTTTTAAAATCACCTTAGTAAACAGTCTCTGGGGAGTTTTGCTGAGAGCCTAATCTCTTAAAAATGCAGCTAAGTATCATGTTTACCTTAATACCCAAACAGCAGCCAAGTGAAGTGTCTGTCCTTGTTCTGTAAATGACCAAATGGATAAATCCAAGGTTCTGGGCCCAGCCCACCGTAAGCCTGAGCCTTTCATTAATTCCTTCTTTATAATTTTTACAGATCTGCTGAAAAAAGCTTTGTGCTGAGTTTCCCTTAAAAATTTCTCAGAGTTGTTAGATATGACAGCTTTACTAGCATGCAACAACATTAAGGAGAAAATGCTGGACAAAGTCTAGGTATTACAGTAAAGAAATTCCCCCTTTGTTAAGTGATGGAAGAAAGTTAAAAAAAGAAAAAACAAAGATAAAGTCCAGCCCAGTGCAGTGGAGGACTGCAGTTACAGCAACTGCTCCTTTAATTTAAACACTGAAATGAATTACTAAATCAGATTTTGAGCTTTCAGAGGCAAGATGCCTTGAGAAGCATGGAAAAAAAAAAGAAAAGACAATATATGGGATGAGTTAAAAATAAAAACAACAGGCCTTGCAAATAAGTCCACTTCAAAATAATGTCATAAAAGTGAAGGGGAAAACTTCTGAATGTATTTTTCTAATTAAAAAATAAGATGAATCATTAATATATGCCTGACTGTCTGAAAATGCAGCCTGTTAAAATGGATGAGTCTCATTGGGGCTGCATTTAAATTCTTTTAAGTATTAAGAAATGCCTAAATAATGGACAGAGTTCAGGGTTGCATAATACATCTTGTTACAAAGAGCACCTGCCGAGACCATACTTGCCTATAGTTTAAACATTTTCTACAATTAAAATACCTAAATCTAGAGGCCACCTGTTTCCTGCCTTTACCTTCCTTGAGTGCCAGAAGTTTTACTGTAAACACAGGTGAGCAAAATAAGATGCTGCCTGATGTTAGGGGACTCAAGGAATTTCAGCAACAGCTGAAGTCCCAGCCAGACGCTTTTCAACTCCCAGCCCCTCTATTAAAACTGATGAGAGAAGCAGTATCCTCTCTTCCTCTCCCAGTGGCAAGGCGCTTAGATGAGAATTCCCAGACCGGGCTGGGACAGCAGCTATCCATCCAGCAGCTTGGATTTTACAATAACCAGTACCAGATGCTTCAGCAAAGGCATAATAAAATTCAGAGAGAGTAATTCTGAAGAAAACTACTTAGTTTTTCCCAATTTCCCACTGGTCCCTGGGCAATGCACATATCCTGGGACATACTGCATCCCAAGAAACTGGTCTGGCTATTCAGAAATTTGCCAAAAAGCTGTCTGGATGGCAACCCTGAATTGGTAAAATAGAGAGGCTGTGGACTGTCCTAACCATAGGACTCTTGAGAGGCTGCATTCCCATTTTAATTTTAGTCTAACTGTGACATGTAAAGAAGGTAAAACATTTTCAGAAATTCCAAAAAGGGTTGTTTTTTTTTTTTTTAATTATAAGGAGACATATTAAAGAAGTGTTGTCAGGTGAGCAAGAGTCTTGAAGGCTAGAAATAGGAACTGGAAAATATATCTGCAGGCCCAGTCTTTCCCTGATGACTTTGACACATCAATTAATACCAGCTGGAAATCAGGTCCTGCTCATCAAGCAGGTCAGTTGCTCTATTGTTAGCCCAAGACAGCAACTGAACAGATAGTCTAGTAGCCCAGTAAGACGCAACTCAGAAAGATCTGCTTTTGAATATTCCCAATAGCAGACCAGTCCCTGGAAGAAAATCCTCGGCATTAGGAAACCCTTGCTGACAAATATCTACCATCTAAACTCTGCCCTCTGAAAGAGATTTTGCACAATGCAAGGCTTAGGGTAAAATGGAAAATCTATGGCACTTGGGGCTTATCCAGACCAACGCGCAGGGGCAGTCCTGCACTCCTCTGCCCCGTGAGCTGGGCAGACGTGAGACAGCTCTGATCTAGGAGCTGCACAGCTGCATCCCTGCTGTGCCACTGCCCATCCCACCAGCCACACCAAGCAGCACCTAGCCAGTCCAGAGGGCTGCCAGCACCTGCTCCAACAGGCATGTCCCGAGTTTTGCCCGGTGAGGTGCCTGGAGCACAACTTCGGCTGTGCTGAACCAGGCAAGGAGATTTTATGTTTTCCTCCTCCTGTTTTCAAACTTCTTCAGAGGACCTGACAATGAATCAAAGTTATAGTTTTGCAGAAATGCACAGAATGTTTATTCAATTCGATAGAGTATACAAATATTTCTGAAAGACAAAAAAGGCACGAAACAGGTCCTAGTTTCTTAATGCCTAATGCACAGATGATCCCGTGAACCTGAAAGCAGGAAGCTAGCTAGCTGGCTCCTACATGGGAAAGCAGTGGAGTTTCAGAAGGGTTCAGTTAACTAAAAGCCTATTATTTTTCCCCTTTCCTTTCTTTTGACCAGACAGATGGTTTCATCTGGTAAATCTTAATGCATAATGGCACTTACTGAAACGAGGTACAGTTATAATTCAATAACAAACTGATTTACAGCATCTCTGCACAGAAACTGGCAGTAGTACCAAAATGATGATAAGCTTTGGGACATAAAAATACACTCACAATCACAGAATTATGTTGAGACCATAAAAAACATCCTCTTCTGAGCAGTTCCTGAGCCAGGGGATAAGGAAAATGACCCAATACTTAAGGGTACATAGCACATTTCAGCAAAGACTACAGCCACCATTCTTACATTGCCATTTTCTTATGTTATATCACAACTGCTAGAAGGTTACTAATCCATACTCTGAAATCTTAAATAGCAGGCCCATCTCCCCCAGCTTGCCCTTTTAAAAAGAGGACTCAAGAAAAAAACAGCACTAGCTTTAACAGCTCTTGGTGGCATCTAGACAATTCAAAAATGTTACATATCCCCTGCTACTCATTGCTTATTGCAAAGCATTTGAAATCATGTCATAAATTAAAGATTATAAAACAAAGGCATCAAAATAACTTAATTGTTATATTTATCCTGGGGAAAATCTTGCACTGAATATTAAATACTATCTTTAAAGCCATTTGCTCATACAGAAAGCAATTACGGACATTTAGAAAAGCAAACAAAATTATATTTCCAAAGTGCTACTGAGATTAGAAAACGATCCATCAGAGGTAAACAACCCTCTCCTCTCCTCTGCCTCCACTCTCTGCATCCTGCAGGTTCTCAGGTTGGTGGTTCAGCAGCAGTGCATCTACCCGTGGTTGCTGGATGGATCCCTGGTTTGGAATGCTTGCTTGGGGATCCTGGGTCTCTGATGCATTCAGATCTGTAACACACAAGTGAAGGACACATGACAATACTTCTGCCTTGCCTGTGCCATTGTAAAGAGCAAATTCTGACTTTTCATTAGCACCATTTTCTAGTTTGCTGCACCTATTTAGAAAGGAAAACATTGCTCTATTACCAATTATATTACAGTCTGTTGAGAGGTACCTTACACAAATGTACTGAAATCTGTTCAAGTCTGTCCACTGTCATCCAAGGGATGATCACTGTCACTATTTGTACAATAAAATAAATTTATACCCATACTTCACTAACCAGACACACAATAATGGAAAGGCATAAATGCTGTCAAGAGTTGGGCTGGAGGGAAACATATAGCACATAATTAGTACCTTTATTAGTAATAATACAATTGTAAAATTAATATAGTTCCCCTCATTACACAGAATTTTATTTGCAAGCACTCTTTTTATGGATGAAAAAGAATCAACTGAGTAAACCCGGTTAAAAGTCTACTTGACTGGCACTTGCAGTCTGCAACAAATGTATAACCATTCAGCGTTTTCTACCAAGTCTGTCTGTGTTTATTAGCACAAACTACCTAGTCTATTATTGTCTCAATCCTTTAGGTGTGACATGGAGATAATGATAATACTTGTACCCATACACTAAGAAATTATTTCACAAAGATCTTCATTTGTTATCTTTCCATTTTTCTCCTGCAAATGCAGAGAATCAGGTACTTGTTTTCCAGCACTGAGCTCTGAAGGCTTTTGTGGTTATCTGTGAACTACTTTTAAAAAAAAAAAAAATAATAATAACCACAGTTTCCTCCCTAGTCAGCTTTCTATCCACTTCAGGCCATCAGGAACTATACCTTAGCAGTTGTCTTTTCTACATCTTTATTTCTGCACAGCAATTTTTACCATAAGAACAATCTGCACAACAAGGGAGAGCATGTCCTTATATCTAGGGATGAGAAGAGTCTGCAATGTACAGGCTGCAATACTTTTCACTGTAATATTCACCTGACCAGCCTCTGCTATTATGTCAGGAAGGTTAACTTTTCATTCTCCCCTCTGCAAAAAGGACTATGCAGAAAGAAGGGGAGCTTGGCACCCCTCCCATAGCATGGATAATGGCCAGAAGCAAGCAAACTCAGCACTAGGGTCCTTTGTGCTTTGGTCATTCATATGCAGAGAGATAAAAAGACATTTCATGCTTGGTTTGGTCTCTACCCCTTCTCACGTGTATGTGCAATGAAAATCTATTATAAAGGAGATATTTGGTTTTTTACACACAGTGTTGCTCTAACTGGTGGCAATTTAAAATGACACCTGCCCACATCTGGCATTCCCCCAGCACATTTGGCTTTCATCAGTCTTGTTCATTGAGGGAGTTTAAGGTAAAAACGAGCTTGCTGGCACCCTGCAAAGCCTTGGCTCCCTGGTTGCTCTCACAGGGCATGTGGAGCAGTTGGAGATGATTATGCAATGGGCATGTGGGAGCACATCCTATCGCTGCCTCTGCCTTCAGTGTCTTCTCGTGTTTGATATTCACACAGCTGAGGGAAGCAAACAGGCTTTGGGGCTTCAGTTCCCAACGTAAACCACATGTTATGTTACACCTGCAGCTGAGACTGCAGGGTTGGTGGCAGGGACAAGGTATTTTTACACAAGCAGTGCTTGGTCATAGTGGGATGACACAAGATATTAGGAAAATTAATCACAAAATCCCTTTCTTTTACTGTTTTACATGGGATTTAAAGGATCAAGTTTCAATCTTGATGGAAATCCAGAGAAAGTCTTGATCACAGGTGAGTTATTTGCAATATGTAACACAGCAGGATTTGACTCCCTAAGTTACCCGAACAGCCCTGCCTTGTTAAAGATGATTTTTGGCATTTATTTCTTTTTGATAGCTGTATTAGAAAAAGATGGCTATCAAAAAGAATAAAATTTGCAGCAGCAGAAGAAACCAGAAATACCCTATGTCTGCTTTTCTTTATGGAAATGGAATACTTCAGGGGGAAGGTCCTCAACCTCTAAATACATATTCTGGAGTAATTTTACCCACATTAATATTCTGTTTAAGTCCTGTGAGTCTCTTCATGTTAACAAAGTTATGTGCATAAGAATACCAGGTAGTAAGTGCTTATTTGAAAGATCTGTTTCCAAAGTTTACAAAGTACATAATTGGAGAAGCCTAATTACAAATTTGAAAAAACCCTGAAAAGAAAGAGAAACACCTTACATGCAGTTATTTTCCACCATCAAAACTAAACAGTAATTGCTTCACCAATTATAACAGTAGCTGTCTCCAAACCATTTCTCATTAACTATTACAACTCATAAGCAACAGAGATGAGCAGTGGAAACTGTCAGCATTCTGGAAAAACAAATCAGATTTTGTCACTATCAAAATAAATTATTTACCACTTGTTTAGCTAGTTTTTTTTATTCTCTCCTCCCCCCGCCCCTTCCCCCCTTTCTGTTGCTTCTGGAGAACCTGAATGGCAGGAGAGCACCCAGAAGGTGAGAGCCCAGCTGCTGCGGGGGTTTCCAGTGGCTTCTCAGCCTGAAAGGTTGTGCTTAGTCCAACTGAGGAGGGAAGGGGCTGGTTTTGGCTGCACTTCAGGTGGCACTCAACACAGGCTCTGCCCAATAAAAGCACAATGTGTCCCAGGGCGGGGGTCCCCAGCCTGCCGGCGGGGCAGCTGCCTGCTGTCTCCCTGCATGGTGCCATGCTGGAAGCAGCCAAGCCAGGAGACCAGCTGGTATCGCAGGCGGCAGCGCTACGCGCCCCGAGAGCAGCTGCTCGGGAAGGATGGAACAACTTGCCAGAATTGGTAATAACAGCCTCAGGTGAAGGGAGAGTGGGGAAAGGGGATCAATCTGCCAGCCAGCACCGGTTCTTGTTACACAGAGCAGCGACTACTGCCAGAAAGCCTCCTCCGAGCATCCTGGTGCGGCACAAGGAAACTGTCTGTCCTTGGCCCCCAGCAGGAGAATGGTGGGAGGAAGCCTCCTCTTTAAATGCTCTCCCAAAACAGGGAACAAACCTCCAGAACCAGCCTTGAAAGCATCAGCTGGTGTCTACTAAAGAACTTGGAGAGCTGAGGATGCTCAAAAAAAAAAAAAAGGAAAATAAACCAATTATCCATGCAGACAGCAAGGCAGAGGAAGGCTGCTACCAGAAAGTGATGGCTGGGACGCTCTCCCATGCTCCCCATGGGGCCGGGGCACCCACAGGAACCTTGCCAGCCCCACTCCAGGCCCATCCTCTGCAGCACTAGGGCTGACAGTCAGAACTCAGTATGGATCAAGAGCCAGGTAAATAAGAACCATCAACCTTTTATAAGCCTCCTTTGCTGTGATTGTAACTCGTCTGCCAACATCAGCCACAAAATGAGTTTTGTATTATTCCCTTTCTTTAAATTCAGTGTTTACTTATCTTTTCTTCTGCTCCCTTCCATCCTGCCGAGTGATGCTGGAGCAGGCTGTGTTCAACGCAACACTGCCCCCACCAAACCAGCACCCACAACACCAGCACCTAGCAAAAATGCTCCCACTGCCCCTGCCTGCACCCCTCCTCTCTGGGCTGGGCTCTTTGTCTGCCTCACTCCTGCACCCTCTGCAGAAAGGACAAGCGACAGTGACTGTACCTGGCCACAGCCTTCCTCTTCCTCATTTACACATAAGGAACTCATTTTTCCCTTCATATAAGTGCAGAAAATATTCCCCAGATTTCCAAAGCTGACCTGTAGCTCAGATACTTCCACAGGGTTTTCTGTGAGACTCCCAGGTCCCCACTCCCTCCTACTTCTCCAGTGGCCAAGGGCTGTCGGCAGCTCACCACATCCCAGCCCCTGGAGTTGATGTGCAAACTGAAATACTCTTTAACTTCTTCTCAGTTACACAAAATTTACTTCTCCTACAACACCCCAGGTAAGTCTTTCCTAAAGAGCCAGTGCCAGCTCCTCAGCTGCATCACCTATACCCTAGACAAAACTGAACAGCAGACTGGAAAAACCCACTCTTTCAATGTTGGGCTGGTCAAGCCCCCCAGCAAAGAGGGAAGTGCTTGAGGCTGGAGGACAGGTATTACGTGATCTGTGACAGCACTTCAACATTTTGTGGCCACATAGCCTGTTCAGACCAGCAGAATCACACCACAACACAAAATACCACTCAAGTCCAGCTTTTTTCTCCTTTTTATCTCAGCTGAGACCATTTCATTAAATACAGAAAACCTTGGCATTCCCTGTTGTCTCCCTCACCAGTTTTCTCAAAAGGAGTTAGAGGCTGTTTCTACCGAATTCTGGAAAAAATCACAAATTGTCTCATGCACACGGGCACATACTGCCAAATCCAACATTAAAAAGAAATCATTTTTTTCCCCCGTCTTCCATGAGTTTAGCTGCTGTGCCATAAGGATAGGTATCAGGAAACTACAACAAGACATTCTACCCCCCTAAAACAAAAATTCTTTTCCAGGCAACCTAAATATAACAGCAGACTGCAGGCCTGGAGTGTGTGGAGCCAGCTTTCACGGGAGTTTCTAAGGGGGCCTCAGTTCTCCAAACCGGGTCTGGGTCCAAACTCTGAGAAACACAGCTCCTGGATAAAAACATGCTAATGTTGCACAGGAAACAGAAACCAAGAGTGGCATTCTGCATCCTAACTACCGTACCCTACCCCTCCCGTAGCACTGTCAGACAGGATTAGTGGCATCGCATAAGCTGCTTGGAAGGTGAAGGACAAAGCAATGGCATCTGCAGGAATCCGAGATCAATACATACCAAAACAAACACAGCCCGTGCTCCTGCTGTGTGGGAGATACAAAAGCCAAGTAAACAACTCATTAGTCACACCGATTCTCACCTTCTGCCTGTTGCATAGGATGTAAGCACTTCCACATCAAATAAATGCCACGGATTTTCTCCTTCACCCCTCCTCTCGCTCCCCCGGGGATCAGAGCTCTTCAGGTAAGCCTGAAGTGCCCACACTGATGATTGCCGGAAGGATAGGAAGACGTTAG